CAGGGGAGCCACAGCCCTCCTCTGACCTCTGAGCACCAGGCATATACATGACACACACACACACACACACACACACACACACACACACACACACACACACACACACACAGTAAAAGCACGCATATGCTCAAAGTGACACATAAGGAAATCTAAAATATTTTGATGAAAGAATGGGGTTTGGAGAATACTTTTCTGAAGTATGTATTTGTCATGCTAGACAGTTCAGTGCAGAAGTTCACACAGTTTGCAAGGGTCCTGTGGATGTCCCAGACTGCTGGCACCTGTCGTTTGTCTACTGTCTGCTGGGTGCTTTATTGCAAAGAGCAACTCGCTGGTGAAGGGAAAAATAAAGAACCGCTAATGGAAAAGGCTTCCTGCTAAGGCGCAGACTCCAGGAAGAATGATGAGACTCTCAGGGCATCTTTGGTGGGGGGGCAGTATTCACACCCAGTGACGACCCTCAGTCCCAGGATCAGATCCATGGGTTGCAGGGGACAATGTAAAATGAAAACATGGGGCCATTGTTTCAATACTGTGAGATTTAAGCTGTTAAAAGCAGCATGGAACCTTCTAGCTTTTTTTATTTTTAAATTTAAATTTAAATTAGAAACAAGGTTGCTTCACATGTCAATCCCAGGTACCTCTCCCTTTTCCTCTCCTCTTCCCACACCCTCCTACCAACCACCCCCACCCCACCCCGCCAATACACCCTCCTTTCCCCAGGGAGGCTGAGGCCCTCCAAGGGGGTGTCCATAATCTGTCCTTTCATCCAGGGCAGGGCCTAGACCCTCCCCCAAGAGTCCAGGATGAGAGTGCATCTCTCATTGTGGGATGGGCACCCAGAGTCAATTTGTATGCCAGGGATAAATACGGATCTACCCAAGGCCCCATAGATTGCCTAGGCTTCCTCACTGACACCCATGTTCAGGGAGTCTTGATCAGTCCCATGCTGGATTCTCAGCCATCAGTCTGTGATTTGAGAGGTAACCCTTGTCAGGTCAGCTGTTTCTGGGGGTTAAACCAGCCCAGTCTTTACCCTTTTGCTCATCAGTACTCCCTCTCTATCACTGGGTTCCTTGAGTTCAGCTCAGTGTTTAGCTGTGGGAGTCTGCCTCTGCTTCCATCAGCCATTGGATGAAGGTTCTGTCTCCCAGACTCTCTGGCCATGGAATTGTAAGCTGGCACTCCCCAGATCTATGTCTAAAATCCATATATGAGAGAGTACATGCCATGGTTCTCTTTTTGTGACTGGGTTACCTCACTCAGGATGGTTTCTTCTAGTGCCATCCATTTGCCTGCAAATTACAGGATTCCACTGTTTTTTTTTTCTGCTAAATAGTACTCCATTGTGTGAATGTACCACATTTTCTCTATCCACTCTTCAGTTGAGGGGCATCTAGGTTGCTTTCAGGTTCTGGCTATTACAAATAATGCTGCTATGAACATAGTGGAACAGACATCCTTGTTGTATGAATGTGCATCTTTTGGATATATGCCTAAGAGTGGAATTGCTGGGTCTTATGGTAGACTGATTCCCATTTTCCTGAGGAATCTCCATACTGATTTACAAAGTGGCTGTATGAGTTGGTACTCCTACCAGGAGTGGAGGAGTGTTCCTCTTTCTCTACATCCTGTCCAGCATAAACTGTCCTTGGTGTTTTTGATTTTAGCCATTCTGATAGTAGTAATATGGTATCTCAGAGTTGCTTTGATTTGCATTTCCCTGATGGCTAGGGATGTTGAGCACTTTCTCAAGTGCCTCTCAGCCATTTTAGACTCCTCTACTGAAAACTCTCTATATAGTTCTGTAGCCCACTTTTTAATTGGATCCTTTGGTGTTTTGGAGACTAGCTTCTTGAATTCTTTGTACATTTTGGAGATCAGCCCTCTGTCAGATGTGGGGTTAGTGAATATCTTTTCTCAATCTGTGGGTTGCCTTTTTGTCTTGCTGACTGTGTCCTTACAGAAGCTTCTCAGTTTCAGGAGGTCCCATTTATTAATTGTTGATCTCAGTGTCTGTGCCACTGGTGTTATGATCAGGAAGTGGTTTCCTGTACCAATTCATTCAAGGGTACTACCCACTTTCTCTTCTAAGAGGTTCAGTGTGGCTGGATTTATGTTGAGGTCTTTGATCCATTTGGACTTAAGTTTTGTGCATGGCAATAGACATGGATCTATCCACATTCTTCTACATGCCAGCCTCCAGTTATGGCAGCACCATTTGTTGAAGATGTTCATACATGTATAGGTTAATATCAGGGTTTTCAATTCGATTCCATTGGTCTACCTGTCTATTTTTGTGCAATACAAAGCTGTTTTCAAGACTACAGCTCTATGATAGAGCTTGAAGTCAGGGATGCTGATGCCTCCAGATGTTGCTTTGTTGAGTAAGGTTGTTTTGGTTTACATAAAGCGAACCAAAAAACTCTACCAGGGAACTCCTACAGCTGATAAATACTTTCAGCAAAGTGGCAGGATACAAGGTCAACTCAAGAAAATCAGTAGCCCTACTATATACAGATGATAAAAGGACTGAGAAAGAAATCAGAGAAACATTGCCTTTTACAATTGACACAAACAACTTAAAATACCTTGGGGTAACGCTATCCAAACAAGTGAAAGACTTGCATCGCAAGACCTTAGAGTCTTTAAAGAAAGAAATTAAAGAAGACACCAGAAGTTGGAAAGTTCTCCCACGGTCTTGGACAGGTAGGATCAACGTAGTAAAAATGTCAATCCTGCCAAAAGCAATCTACAGATTCAATGCTATCCCCATTAAAATCCCAGCACAATTCTTCACAGACCTTGAAAGAACAATAATCAACTTTGTATGGAAAAAGACATGGGGGTCTTCAGCTGGGTGAGCTTCACTGGCTCTCAGGGACCAACCAGCCAGTGCTGGCCAGTACCTCCCCCCTTCCCACTGTGTGCCACTCCAAGACAAGCGATCTCCTGCACAGCTTCAGCAGGAAGCTCCTTTGGCCAAGTCTCAAGGAATTCACCACCGCTTGATTAAACAACAGTGTGTGTAGAGTGACCCAGGAAAGCAGCAGACAGCGTCACTTGGGGATGTGGATTCTTATGAGGGGGATGGGTAATTTCATAACCTCTTCCTGTGCGTTAGAACCCCTTTGGAAAAGGGGGGCATGGGGATGATACCTATAGGAGAGACAAGGTTGTGGGAGGGGCCAATCAGGCTCCCAAAACAAGGGCGAGCTTATTACCTACAGCCTGCCCTTCTTCCCAAGGTGGGATTTCATATTCCTTCTTCCTGGAGACTCTTGGTCACTTCTCTCATTTTCTCACTCAGTCAAAATGTGGAAGAACGAAGGACAGTCACACAAGGCTCCCATTTGGAGGGAGAGGAATGCTCAGAGTGGGAAAACCAAGCTCTGGAGTTAGACAAAAGTCCCACTGCGCCTCATCATGCTCCCCTGGGTCTATGCAACCTTGACGGATGGAGAAGCTAGACGCTAGTGGCACACAAGAGCCACTGGGTCGTCTGGACTTGAGTTATCTCTCTGTCCCCACTGCACAGTAGACCGAATAATTGACATTGGCTACAAACCAGCCTCGGGAGTCTCTAATCTCCCAAGGCCTCCAACCATCTTCGGCAATTAAGCTCAGTGTGACAGTTGTTTCAGAAACAAGAAGCCAGATGAATGGAATTAATCTCCCTGATTTAAATCCATTAGTGCCTGTGCTACACTGGTGTTTAAGAGGCTCTTCACCTCACCGGGTCATGCCCAAAGGGGTCACAAGCTGACTCATAGTTAATGGTGGGGAAGGTTTTAATGGAGGGGGCAGCTTTGAAGAGCGCAGGGTGTGTTCCGAAGCTTGAAGGTTTAATGCACTTTTAATTAAATGTGTTTAATAGGATTCAGCACCAGCTATCATGCCACTGCAGATAGATTCATTATATGTGTTCACTTAATTACATGTGTGCTATTACCCAAGTGTAAACATTTGATGACACGGAAAGCAGTGTGGCCTCCACAGACTCCTGAGAGTTCTGCTGGGGCTTCAGGGCTGGTTCAAACCTTGTCCCACATTTCAGCCTCCATATGTGATTTTATTTCAAGAAAAAATTCCTTTTTATCATTTTAAAAGTGTGTGTGTGTGTGTTCATGTGTGCACGTGTGCACAAGGCAGGTGTCTGTGCAGCCAAAAGGAATCAGATTCCCCGTAGCTGGAATTACAGGAGGTTGTGAGTCACCACACACAGGTGCTGGGAACCAAACTCCTATCCTCTGGAACGGCAGCAAGTGCTCTTAACAGCAGCCACCCTTCTTTCCTCGTCTTGACAGTAATGTGTTGTCTGATGTATTCCAGGCTAGTCTTGAACTGTGTAACCAAGAATGATCTTGAACCTCTGATTGTTTTCACAGGGCTTCCTTGATTCAGATAGCTGTTCTGTAGCAAGAGGGGGCCAGTGCCACACCGCCAGGGCCTTGCCAAGCCAGTCCTGACTGCCACGTCCATGAAGTATTTATCTGTCCTTACTCACTGTTTTGTGGACCTTGTTTTTATTAACAACACTAAACATTTCGCCACTTGCCCCCCCTGCAGCCAATGGTGTTTCTCTTTTCTTCTTGACCAGGTGTATTTTCTTTCTATACATGGTTCTATTTTTTTAATGCAAATCTTCCTATATAGTTCTTTTTGAATAAATGTGTTTATAAGAAATAATAAAAGAAACAGGCAAATTAAGTTTAGTGTTTACATCACAAAATAATCCCTACATATCATCTCAATATGTCACTAGAATTGTATATATACATATATATTAAATATTGTGTAATTGTAGTCCTCTCGGTATCCATTTGGCTCCACCCTCCAAAGATGCGAGATCCCTTATGTGAGGCAGCCGGGTGTTTGCATTGGCACGTGTGCAGCCACCCGTGCTACTTAAGCACCTCTGCATTATTCCTAACTGAACACAAGGGAGACGCTGTGCATATAGTTGCATTATCTCAAAATAATGACATGAACACAGTCTGTTCGTGTTCAGCTCAGATTCATTAAAAACATTTTCTGCTTGACAGTGGGTGAATCCCAGGAGATAGTGCCTGGTGCTCTGAAAGATGGGACCCTGCAGCTGGCCCCTGACTCTGTGAATTCTAGAGTACACACGGCAGGTCTCAGTTCACAGGGGCTCTGCAGGGACACAGAGCTGGGCTGTGGTAACTGCCGCACAGTTTCGCGTCTTTGACGGCCGGCGTGTAGACTTTACATTGTATTTGCTGCCTGTTGCCACCCATTAAAGAGAGAAAAGCAAATGAAAAACCATCTTTCAGTGGCTGAAACACAGCAGGCAGATCTCGTCTTACAGTGAAGTAAATACGGCACGGTCCCACTCAAGCACCCTGTAGACAAATACTCCTTACATAAGCGAAAGTCGAGTGTATTTCAGGTCGTGCTTATTCCGTCGGTCACAGAGGAGGCTAAACAAAACTTTGTTTTCAAATGCCTCCAGGGCCAGCAAGATGGCTCAGTAGGTAAAGGCACTTGCTGCCAAACCAACAACCTGAGTTCGATTCCTGGAGTCCACGTGGTAGGAGGAGAAAACCGACTCCTGGTAGTTGTCTTCCACCCTGCTTACATGCACACCATGTGCACATGCACGCTCACACGCACACACACCCACCACAGAGTTTCTTAAATGCCTCTGCAGGCTACTCTGCTCTCCTGGGGTCTCCCATGAATACTCTTACCTCTGGCAGTCAGATGCGACCTTCACGTGGGACTGGGTGGGTGAGAGTCCTCCTTGGAGAGGCTACGGGATAGGACATTATCAGTGTCTGTTGGTGATTTATCTTTTGGGTTCTTGTAGGGACTTTCGTCAGATCCTGTGCAGACCCAGATGAGCCCCAGCCTCAATGCTTCCGGCACAGATGCCCTCACTGGCTCGGGATTAGTTCCTGGAAAGCAGACGGGTTTCCTAGAGACGCCTTGTAGTCAACACGCCTGGAAAGGAGAGGCAGGAAGCAAAACTGGATCCAAGGAGACAGGGAGTTGTGACGTAATCCCTTTTTGTGAAAATTCTGAACGTGGATTGAGAGTGAAGGCTTTGCAGGTTAAATAGGAGTAGATGAAGTCATGAGATACCCTCAGTGCCTTCGTAATCTTCAGAAGATGATGAAAAGAGAGTCAAAATGTCTGAGTTCTGTCTCACCCAAAGGTGCAGTTTACAGTGGTGTCCTGCAGCATGATGCTCTTGCCAGGTGTTGGGCAGGCTAGCAAAACAACCTTGAGCTCTCCAGCCTCCAGAGTCGTGAACTAAATAAGCTAAATATGCAAAGTGCTATTGCTATATCACCTGGTCTCAGGTATTTTGTTATAACACTAGAAGTATCTGAAGACAAAAACTGGCCCTTAGAAGTGCATCAGTTGCTATGTCGAGCTCCTGTAGGTGTGGAAGGGACTGAGACAACTTCTACCATGACAGGTCAGACTCAGACCCTTCAGGGGACCTGACCACACACTTCTTCCATGGTGGCTCACAGGACACCTCATTCTTCAATAGTTCTTATATGTAAAACTAGCACCATGTAAATGGAGACAGGGCTTCTCTTTTGTTCTGACCGCCCAGTTCCAAACAAGCACACAGAAACGTATACTAATTACAAGATGCTCGGTCTGTAGCTTAGGCTTATTGCTACCTACTTAGCTCCTACAACTTAATTAACTCAACTCTACTAATCTATATTTTGTCACACGGCTCACAGCATCCCTGTCCTCCAGCATCTTGCTTTTCTGGCGGCTGCTCACATCTCCTCTGACTCTGCCCTTCTTTCTGCATTCTGTTTGGCTTTCCTACCTAGCTTATTCTAACTTGCTATAGGCCAAAGCAGCCTTATTATTAACCACTGGGAGGATTACATATTCACAGGATCATCCCATAGCAGCACCACAGGGGCCCTGTGGTGGCAATCCACAAGGATTGGGTGGCCGGGTCAGAGATGGGAAGCCATTCCGCCCGTCATTACCTTGATCTTGAGACTTCGGCTGGTGAATGCAGAGAATCACATGGCTGAGGCACTGTGCCTCTGGGGACTGATCTGCTAGGAAGATGACTTGATGCAGCAGTGGGAGGAGAGACAGGCCCTGCTGTGTAGGTCAAGCAATAAGGACCACACCCTCCTCAGCAAGCCATGTCCACCTACATGCACAGTGAGAAAAAAATCACACAGAATAAGGGCACGGGAGGCCTGAGTTCTAACTCTTTGTTCTTACCTCAGTAACCAGCAGCCGAGAACTATGGAGTACCATGTGACTGCAGATGTCAGAGGCTTGAGGGAAACAAATGTAATATATTTGGTTCTGCGCTGGGGCAAAAAAGAAGAAGAAAAGAAAACAGTAAGACAGAATAAAGAGAGAAAAAAGAAAGAAAAAAAAGGATTTCCCTCCCTTTAAACAATGTATCTGTCTGCTAGTAAATCTTAAGGTCTGCCATTCCTCAAGGCACACCACATCTGTCTGGCACAGAGCGGCAGCTGCCACTTCATAACCTGCATGTTCCTGCTTCCCTGCCTCTCCCAAGCGTCAGTGCTGACTCCTCTGTTGTCCCTGTGTATCGCCCCCTACTGTGATAGTGCCTCTTAGCTCCAGGTATGGAAAGTCTCACTCTAAGAGCCAGCCTGTAGGCTACATAGAGTTCTCCTGGCCATAACTTGGAAATGAAAAGTAGCAAACAGAAGATTCCAGAAGCATTCCATTCCCTTCTGTGACCAGGGACCAGAATCCAGAATCCAGATTGCAGGACAGCCATTTCCTTTCTTTAGCCTCAGTTTCCTTAATGTTCTTTTACTCTCTCTCTCCCCTCTCATTGCCCGTCACTCCCCCAAACTCACACACACACACTCTCTCTCTCTCTCTCTCCTGGGTTAAGCACACACAACATATTGCATTCTTAAACACAAACACACATCTTGCTAATGACCTCACCTCTGGTAGCCTCTCAGCCTTGACTCCTCACCACCCTGACGTCACTCCCTGCCCTGTCCTTCCTTTTGGTCAGATGTGTCACCAAGCCTCCAGTCAGTCATTCACGGCCATTGTGTAAGGGCAGCAGGCAGAACCAGCCTCCAGTCTCAAGCTTCATCCGTGCTCTCTCACAGTGGGATTGTTCCTAAGGACCAGGCACCCAGGACACAGGGCTAAGACCCTGAGTGCTGATGATAACTCAGAGAGAATCAGCATGGCTTTGCTCTTGCTCCATTGCACCAGTGAGTTTATGGGGGATGGGCATTAGAGGTCCTTTTGTGGTACCAGGGCTGTCAGCTTCCAGGCCTAGTCTCTGGTTGGTTTGGGATCTTTGTGTCCTCTATGTAAAAGGTAGGCTTACCTCTGTCCCCAAGTGTTCAGGATTCTTCACAGAGAATGAAGGATGGCTTCCAAGATGATTTCACTGTCTTTGCTATTTCCTTTTGGGGCTCTCAGAAAACGTGTAACCTTTATACCTACAGTGGTTCCTTCTACCTATCATGTGACCCAAGACCAACAGGATGCCCAAACCACAGACAGGACCCAACTCTGGGCATGCCATACTCTTTCCAATACATACACATCTGCAATGAAGGTTATTCTTTAATTTCACTCTTTTATTTTTTATCTTTAAGTAAACCAGACACATAAATGAACAATGTAGTAGTAAAACAGAACAATTATAACAACCCTACCAACATAATATAAATGTGTTTTCTCTATTCCTAAAAGCACACTACCATACATAGTAATGGAATATGTTTGACTAAAAGTAGCTTCAAGCACGGATAAAGAGGTCTGCTGTGCTGACACAAATTTACACAGACCCATTCCTGAACACCTGGTACCATGGAGATCATGCAAAGGGCTGTTATACCACATTCTTAGTGCGTGAGATAGGGAAACATCTAGGCCAACTTAATACAGATGCAATTATAAGGATGTTCTTTATTCCTAGTCTGGAATCTCCATGGGGGAGGCTGGAAGAGGGTAGTAGGTGACAGGAACTGCAGGTTTACAGGCTACAGGTGCACACATAGAGGTCTGAAGGATAGCAAGGTGGCCGGTGTCTGCAGTGACACAGGTCAGGGGTCGTGGGCTCAGTAGGTTGGTCGAGAAATCTGTGGTTTAAGTTTGATATGCACTACAGGATGCTCAATGCCGATGAAGTACTTTTAATAGAGATCAAAGTGAGTTTCAGACTCAAAACCACAGTAAAGGAACACTAACTACCCTTATCACAGCGCAGCGAAGGACAACCGTTCCTTAGCCGTGGACTCAGCCAACTGAGGAGCAATGGCAGTCGGTCTGTGTGCAAACCTGGCAGCCTTTCTGTCCATCCCAGCCTGGTCCAGGGCCTCTGCTTAGGCAGATATGTGTACCTCTGTCACAGGAGGGTCTCCCACCCAGGCCGCAGGCTCCCACGGGAGGCGTGGTGCACAAACGCTGGCAGTGATCAGCTGTGGAGCAGCAGTGAAGGCACTGGAGCCGCTGCCCACTGTGGAAGTACTCAATGAAGGATTTTGGAAGCCCTGCACGATTACCAAAACCAATCTCATTGTTTACCAACTGTCGGTTCCCTTTGGATATTTAGGAGGGCGAGAAATGGGCACATTTGTTTCTCTGCAATGTCACTCTTCGGTCATGTGGGATAATGCTAGAACCTCAGCTTGAAATCTGCTGATGAACATCATTTGTTAGCAAACCGGGAAAGTCCTGGGGTGACGGAGGGAGACAGCAGTCTGCATCTCCCTAAAACGATGGAAGCCCTGTGCTCTGTCCCTACATATGATGGTGGAGGCTGCACATTCCTTGAGTTACAACAATGTCCTAGTCTACTAGGTAATAGCGTCTAGACCACAAGGCCGCCTCTGTCCCGCCACCAGCCTTTGACAAGCTGCTACGACTGTCCCGTATGAGGGGTGCTCTCCTTTTCTGGCGGTATTGGCAGGTGGCATCTTTAGGGGGCGGTTCAATCATTATGAGGGGTCAATATATTATTTCTTGGAGGACTAGGTTAACCCACTCTGGATGAAGTCAGTTTCCCCAACACCTGACTGCTATGCAATGAAGCCACCCTTGTGTTTGCCTCTTCCCAGTGCACCTGCTGCCTTTCTGCTTTCTGCTGTTATAATTGAGCATGAGGCCCAGGCCCATGAACAGACAGATACACCACTGAGCTCCTGGCTCCAGTGCCAGAATCATGGGCAAAAGTAAGTCTTCCTTGGATGTTTATACCCTCAGAAAACAGACAAGGAAAGGAAAATGATCCCAAACACCCCATATTCTGACTAAGAGTTGTACCCGGTGCTAACCCTAAGCTTGTGTAGATGGTACGTTCCTCACGAAGGTCCTTCAGAGGCTCACTGTGTTCTTCTCTGTGCAGAAAGATCATCACACACAATGGACAGGCAAGGTAGGACACAACAAGAGGGAAGGGAGGAACCATGAACACAGAGGCAGATGGGGACTAGCCAAAGCATCAGTGTCAAGGAAAGATGTCAGACATAAGAGACAACTCCATTTCTCACAATATGAGGGATGGCTTGACAAAACAAACCCTTAGAAACAGGAAATGGCTGAGAGTCTGTGGAGAGCAGGGTGTTGACAGTGAGTGAAGACCAGAGAGGCATGATGGGAATTAACATTGAGTGAGGACCAGAGAGGCATGATGGGTTTTAACAGAGAGTGAGGACCAGAGAGGCATCATGGGTATTAGCAGTGAGTGAGGACCAGAGGGGCATCATGGGTATTAACAGTGAATGAGGACCAGAGGAGCATGATGGACATGTTTCCAAATGGAGATGTCATGGTAGAGTACACAGCTTTGCATATTTCCTAAAACATCACCAAACTACACATGAACACAGGATGACACATGATGGAAAATAAGCCCCTGTAAGTTATTGTAAAAACACTAGCACACTGCTTATAACACATTTAAAAATAACTTACAGGTAATTGTGGCGATATGTTATTTATGATTTATTAAACCTTGCCTGAGGATCAGAAAGCAAAGCCAGCCACATAGAGTTCAGGAGGTGGTGGCACACACCTTTAATCCCAGGACTCGGGAGTTAAAGGCAGATGGATCTCTGATAGTTCAAGGCCACCCAGGGATACATTAGAGTGAATCAGCCGAAAAGAGAATTAGAACTCATACCTTTAATCTCAGGACTCTTGTGAGGTATTTAAGACAGGAACGGGGTCTCCGAGCTGAAGTCATTCTCCAGCCACATTGAGGACAGGAAGACACTGAAGTCTCAGGAGTCTCCAGCCATGCTGAGGAGAGGCAGCAGTTTGAGGTTTGGTGGAGCCAGGATCACCTTTCAGTCTGAGGCAGAGTGAGAGCTAGTGACTGGCTGCTTTGCTTTTCTGATCTTCACCTTGAAGTTTGAACCCCAATATCTGTCTCTGGGTCCTTTTATTTATTTGTGGTATAGGTAATGTTGCACAAAGAAAGAAAGGGATACCCAAGATTTAGAACGATCCATTTTCCTATTTATACGTTCAGACTCATTCACCACACATGCCATTCCTCAAAACACCCCTAAAAAATTATCTGGCAAACATAATCATTGCTACTGAGATGTCCCCTGAGCCATCTTCTGCCTCTCAACCTCACACATCTGCCACAGGGAAGATGAGCTTAGGAAGAAAGGAAAAATACAAGGCGAACAAGTTCACACTAGATGTCCCTGTAGGGAGAGATCACGTACCTGCAGTGCTGACCACGCCCCAAGGGCGCTACGGGTACGAGGTCTCTCCCTACGTGTCACCAATCAGTTCTTTGGCATCAGTTTCTTCCACGCAGAGTGGGGCTATTGCCAGGTCTTTGCCGGGCACAGCCCCTGGGCTGGACTTGCTCATGGCAGAAGCTGTTACTACAGGAGGCCCTTTGCAGAAAGGCATTCTACGTGCTATGCTGGAGTCAGCTTCTCCGCTCACGGGCCAGGCTGTTCCACAGGGTAGCCAAGCTCCCAGTGCTGGGGGTTGTGCCCTGTGGCAGTCTGATGCAGGCTGACCCCCACACCTTGAGTTGCAGTGAGGAATACAAGCTCTCACCTGGAGAGGCCAGCAAACTTCCTGTGCCCCCTCAGCCACATCCGCCATGTCTTGGGGATTACTTGAAGAGAACAGCAAGATGGCTTTGCCAACAGATCCACTGGTCTCCGGGGCAGGTGTCAACTATTTAAAAGCTATATGGCTATGGTTATATGACGCCCCCTCCAGAAGCTATGGAAAAACCTTCGATGAAAGAAGTGGCTTCCAGTCCTTTCTCTAGCACAGTGTGTCCTTGGGATCCATGCACATTTCACGATCGTGTGCCTCAGTCTCCCCATCCGGACAGAAGTGGGTGCTAAGAAAGGGTCCTGCCCACTTCTGCCCACTACTCCCAGAGTCCCAAGACTTCTTGGCTTACTTCCAATTTTCAATTGACCGTGAATCTCTGTGACTCCCGGGGTCAGGCCTGGCAGCTGGGAAGTGGGAAGCAGAGGGCTGGGTGCCAGCTTTCCTGCCCCTCTGCCACGGGAGCTGGGCGCAGTTCTGGGGCCATTGTGCTCAGGGGAGGTCTTAGCTGGCAAGGCTGCCAGCCCGACTGCTCAGGCGCCAGGGTTGTTTCATTATTTCATCAAAGTTCATTATGCTGGGGCGGAGACCAGTAATAAACCATGATTACAAGTGTCTCCAATGAGCACTTAAAGACATAATTCGGGGTGTGGACTTTCTGCTGCGTCCCTGTTTGTGGTCACACAACGCACGGAGATTTGCACCTCTGATATACAACAGTCTTGGCGTTCATTAAAGTGAAAAGATGCCCGAAGAACTTGATTCAATTTGTCTCGGAACTGAGTTTGTTGTTTTATATGGAGGCATGATTTGCCACTTTTGAGAACACAGTTAATTATGTGTGTAAAAGGCAGGTACAGGGACACAGGAGACACCCAGCGGCTGAATGGCAGCCAGACATATCAGGTGTCAATAGCGAGGGCAGAAAAGGCTCTGCTGGCTTTCTCTCACTTGGCAGCCCCCTTCCCAACCCTAGCTCCCCAGCCCTTGTGAAACAGCAGCTTTACTGGATACTAGGGAGGAAGCAGGTGGTACTGTGTAGGCCAGAGCCAGCTAATAGTATCTCCTGCTCCATTCTCCAGGCTGGAGGGATGGCCAGGCACACTGCAGTACTGACTGGGTAGACACTGATTGATAAAGCAGGCTGTGGACTGGGGTCCAGGGAGGCGGTACGGATGGGAAGGACCTTCTGCAGGTATGTGTGGGGTAGAATTCTCCTGGGCTGGCTGGAGGTAGAATTCTCCTAGGCTGGTTGGATACGTCATTCTCTGGGGTTCAGTTTTCTCTGACTGTTTATGGACCCTGCACCTGATCAACACAGGACATGTGCACCCTGGGATGTGAGGCCTGATGTCAGCAACAACTTTACCCATGATACATTGGGACTCGTAGACAGCTGTCTCCTGTGGACCATGACTTCCAGTCCTTGTAGAATTGGAGGGTTGGACCATGTAATGTTCCCTAAAGTTGTCTAATCATTTTAAAGAAAGATTTCATTTTTCTTTTCGGTTGTGTATTTCATGGGAGGTGTGTTTCTCTTGAGCGTATAGAGGCCAGAAGAGCTGTTGGATTCCCTGGAGCTGGAGTTACAGGCAATTGAAGTCACCCTGTGTGGGTGCTGAGATCTCAGCTCGGGTCCTCTGTAAGAACAATACATTTTCTTAGCCATCGAGCTGCCTCTTCAGCCACAAGCCACCTAATCTTGAGACGTAACTGAGAGAGTTGTCAAAGTGTTATTTCCCCAACTCCACATCAAAGACATCAGGTCAGAATTTTCTTCAGGAGAAGTCAGAGAATCAGAATTCAATATGTCACCCAGGCAGCCCATACTATTTTCATTTAATTGCCTGGAAGACATCCCATCATTTGAAACTGATCTACTACTAATGAAAAAGAGAAGTTTCCATCTACTCTGCCCCTCAGCATGCTTGGTTCTTGCTCTCAATTGCAACCTAAACTTGTGGCTTTTTCTCTCTGTGTTAGTAGCTCCATGGGTGTGTACAAGTGTATCTTTTAAGAGAAATTTGTGCTACAACTGTACATTGGGTATTTTTCTCATTGTTGTGGCCACATATGTAGCAATAGTTCATGTTCTGTGGGTTTGGTCCACCATAGCAGAGGCAGTGGGAGCCTGAGTGTGAGGCTGCCTGCTCACATCTTAGTTGAAAGGAATACCTGTGTTCTACTGGCATTCTCTTTTTCCTCATTTCTGTCTAAGATCCCAGCCCCTGGACGGTGCCATGCACATTCAGGGATCTCTGCCCTCTTTAGTGGAGCCTCTCTGGAAATACCTTTACATGCATACCCAGATATGTGTCTTCTAGATTATTTTAACCCAGTTGAGTTGACAGCGAGGATTACCCATCACAAGTCCATACCTTGTTAACTTGGTATCACCATTGATGTCTTTTAAATGATAGAATTCCTTCCTTAATCCTCAAAAGCTCATGGCCACCACATAATCCGAGATGCATCTAGTTCATCTACAAGAATCCCTTAAGTGCTAACAGCTCCAAAATTCCTCAGAAAGTTGAAGTTCAGAGTCTCCTATTGGACCCAAAGCAAACGTTTATCTGAGAGTCCCTGTAAAATCCTTCCATTCTAAAAGGAAGGCATGAGGGAATCTCAAGGAGAGATCTGACTAAAGCAAGGGAGGAAACCTAGCAAAGGAAACACTAAGCCCTGCAGCACCATGTCTGGCATCACCGGGGCTCCAAGAGCTCTGTGTATCCCTGCCCCTTGCTGTAGCCTCTGTGACCTCTTGGGTTGGCTCCACTTCGTGCCCGTGGCTTTCTTTGATGAACATCTTTCTCAGCCATGCCCATCACTCTAGGGTCTCCATTACAACACGATTAAACTGCACACATTGTCTGACCTCAGTGGCTCCCTGGAACCTTGACATAAGCATCAATGACCTTATAACCCTTTTATATTGCCTGAAAAACCATCAGCATGAGGCTGGAATCAAGCTTTTCTGCCAGCTCAAGGTGTAGCCTGGCCTCCTATCATGGAGCCTTCATCGTTGAACTTGGGAAAAGAATTCCTGAGGTAGTTATCTTGAAGCAGGGAACTCCTGCAGTGGAATTCTCAGGTTAGAATCTCACCTATGACATAAATTTGCAAGGATTAGGGTGTGTGGCTTTGTTGAAGGAAGTGTGTCACTGGAGGTGGGACATTGCAAAAGCTCGAGCCAGGCCCAGTTCTCTGTCTGTCTTTGCCTGTGGATCAGGGTGCAGCTTTCAGTACTTCTCTTAACACCATGCCTGCCATAGACGTGCAAGCCAGCCCCAGTCAAATGCGTTCTCTCTTAAGAGTTGCTGTGTTCACATTGTCTCTTCACAGCATGGAACAGTGGCTAAAATACCTTGCATGTATTTCCATACTACTGTGAGAATTAGTAACTGTCCTCTGTGAGGACAAATCCAATACGACCAAGTGCATTTTGGACAGGTATGCCACTGACCCTCTCTGTTAAACCTGAATTGTGGCAGATTTATTTTAGTAGAAAAGATTTCATCTTCTTTTTCTCCTATCTCGTTACACTCTTGATGCAGAGGCACAGAATTGAAATTGCCTAAAAAAATGTAGGAGTGAGTTCAAAGTCTGGCCTTTCCTTGCTCTCTGTAAGTTTAGTCAAGATATTGAAGGCCTCTGAGTCCCTAATTTCCTTATCTGCAAGATGAAGAATAAGACCCAGGGCCATTATGATGATCTGTGAAAGAGTGCAGAAGGCTGCAAAAGTTGAAAAGACTTTCGACTCTGCACGGTGGTGCAGGCAGCCACTTAAGCCCAGCACTCAGGAGGAGGGTAGACCTCTGTGGGTTTCAGGCCAGCTTGGACTACACTGGAATTCCAGATCAGATGGAGCTGCTTATCAAGACCCTGTGTCAATACAAAACAAACAGACAAACAAAAACCCAAACCAACAAACATAAAACAAAACAAACAAAAGCCCACCCCAAGCCAAAACTGAAACAAACACCACCACCCAGAATGGTTTTTTCCATTCCTCTAGGTTTTTTCCATTCCTCTAATGTATGAGTTTGATCATCCCACACCTCCCAACCCCAAGAGGAGTCAAAGATGCCCTGGTTGACAGAAGATTCACACACATAAATCACTTTAAACCAGTGTAAAGGGAAGCTTTTTCCTTGAGAACATAGGACTTCCCCCATCAAACCAGCATGTGGATTCCAGCCCCACAATTTAGGCTTGTGTGATCCTGAGAAAATTGTGTCTCCCTGTACCTCATGCTCTTCATTTATGAAAGAGATAATCCACTTCGATTGGTTCTGTGAAAGTCGGAAAGGCAAAAGGTGCCACTTTCAGTACTGTGGCAGGAAAGAGGGATGAGGTACCAGAGTGGTAGGTGCCGTTAGCACATCTTGTACCTTCTGGAAATCATGGTGAGGCTACTTCACTCAAGTTCGCATCCTGAGCGGCATGTCCCAGGGGCCCCCTTTAAAATGAGGGCGAGGCTGTGATCTTTCCATCCGTTGGGGATCAGGAGGATGATAGACAACTGTCACACGCAGGGACCTTTCACTGTTCCTTTAGAGAAAGATTTCTTTCGTCATTTGAATGACCCCCAGGAAGTGAGAGTCATCTCTTGGAACGATCAATGTTTCTAGGTCAAAGAAGCAAAGTAGAGACAGTAGTGGTGGAAGAGGCTGGGTACCAAGGGATGGACACGGGCACTGTCAGTAAGATCCAGAGGGATCCGTGGGTAGAGGAGGAGATAGGGCCGCTAACAGGAACATACACGAGGTGGATTGAGCTCATCGCCATGAGCATTTTATGTTACATCAGGTGCCAAGGTTGGCCTGGAGGTCCCATTCCTTGGTGGGCTCCTAGAGAGGGGAGATGGTGGGCACACAGAGAAAGAGGAGTGAATGCATGGAGTGAAACTATTGCTGGTGGCATCATCTTTGCTAAGACCTTGGTCCCCTTTCCACTGTGATTCCCCTGGTACATTATAAGTCACAAATCTGAAGGGATAGGTTCACATGTTTCTGGTTGGGCCAACGAAATGTGTCTTGTCTTGAAGGGGCCTCCCAGGAGGCCAGGCAAGTGGCCTTACAGAACAAGGCACAACTCTCATTCTGGCCAAGCTCAGCTATATCAGCTGGACTAGCTTTGATTCTAGACGTTAGACCAGGCACAGGGACTGGGGCAACTTCTTCCCAGCCCATCCTCCTTTCTGGGTTTAATTACACAAATCCTTTACTGCCTCCCTATCCTGCTGAAACAAGAGTCCTTATGAATTGTAACTGAAGGACCACAATCTGTATTCCACTGAGCCTTATCTCAGTCACTTCAGAAAGTAAGTGAGCAAGAGATGGATGGGGATCAAGTACTTACCCAGCTCTCTCCCCCTTCGTTTCCTGGACAGAAGGCTCTGGGGCAGCTAATCCACACCGGCTCCACTCAGAACACATTCTCACTTTTATCAGCCTTGGAAATCGCCTTTCCAGATTACACGAAAATATACATTGCCCCCCCCTGTAATTAGTGTGGAGCCCCCTCCTTGCTCCCTCCCCATTTTTATCTCAGGCAAACCCAGTCATTACCACTGTCATTGTGGCTTCCCAGAATGCCAAGATTAAAATGGACCATGGAGACTTACGCAAGACTGAGTCTCCCTGGCCTCTTGAACCAATAAACACCCAACTACTGTCTGTAGAGGCAAAGGACAGTTCACCTGACCTATACAGACAGGCCTCCACCCCATGGGTGGCCCTGCTTGCTCTTGCTTCCTATTCCATAGAGAAGTAAGAAAGCCATGTTGTAGAATGATGTTCTGAGTTGAAGATAGTACCCCACGCCTAGGCAAGGGACATTTGGCTGCTGAACTGCCTGCTCCCACCGCTATCTTAATGGCTTGTTCAGATGCCTCAGCTGAGCAAGCGCACCCTGCAATTAGCAATTCATTTTTATTGGTTGATGTGGGCTTTAGGCCAAGAGAAGTTGGGATTAAATCAATATTCCTTTTATTATGTCATCACAGGTAAATGAATTATGAAAACAAAGGCTCAATATGAAGCTGCCAATGCTAATGACGGGGTAGGATTTGGAGGTACAATGAACAAAGGGTGCTCTGTCCCAGTAGGAGGAGTGGAAACCACCCATTACTGGATCTGGGGGCTGCAAGGCCCACCTTTCCCCCACCCTGCCAATCCTGAGCTCACGAAAAGGGGTTGGAAATCTGGCAGGGATTCCCACACTCGGGTCCAGCCATCTTAGAAACAGAATCTAAACCAACACAATTAGACATATCGAAGCATCTCTATCAAGCACCTGCTGGATCCTAGACTCTAGGCCTGTCACTCACTGAGTGATGTGCTGTCTTTAGAGTCTGATGCTGCACAGGGTGTGTCTTTAGAATCAGACGATTGGCTTCAGGTCTCAGTCCGTGTGCTCGTCACTGTAGAGACCCCGACTCTCTGAGTATCCACTTCGTCACGTGTAACATGTGGCCAGTAATACGCATGTCACCAAGGGAGACTGAGAAGGTAAGTTCACATGACTGGTACAAAGTACTCAATAAATGTCATTTACAGAGGTAAGTTTCCCTTCCTTCTTTTATTCCCTTTCTTTCATCTTACCATCACCATCTCTACCACCGTCATTATAACCACCATGATAATCATGATTATCATCATCATGACCTTCTTCTGGTTACCCCGGTGTTCATTGTTAGACGGTTTTATGGATGAGTGGGAAGAAAGAAGGCAAACGTGGAAGGCTATCAGCCTTGGACCCTGCAGCTGATAGCCCAACCAGAATGCAGATGTAGTCCAAGAAGCTATCCTACAAAGTGGAGGGAAGACTGTGCTGTGTTGCAGGAGGGAATGCCCATCTCCATTTGCCCCCATTGGAAGAATCTAACCAACCCCCTTTGCGGGGGGGGGGGGGGCCCTGCTGACTTCTGAAGTGGAGGAATGCACCAAGTTGTGTCTGTCCTTCAAATCGTGGGTGGGAGGAGGCAGGCATCCAGAGGCAGATGTGTGGAGGGGGTAGAACAGGGTGAGAGTACTGCTGTCAGCCTCTCCCCAGCACAGAGATCAATTGTTATGCCATGAATACGAACTTCCAAACAATTGCTTTTGCACCTAGGAATGGGAAGCCTCTGTGGTGGGGATGAACATATGAAGATATTCAGGCGGAATGTTGAGGCTCTGAAAGGGAGACTGAGTGGCCACGTGTGACAAGCTTTTTGGCACCCTTAATTGGGTTTGGTGCCTAACACACCATCCTTCTGGAAGAAAAGCACTCCACTTCCTGGGTCACCTGTAGGAACTCCCAGGCCACTGCTTGTTTGGGGGAGAAGAGTGCATGAAGAAGACCTATGCATAGTTAATTAACAGCAAATGGCTTTAACTTCCTAGTCACCCCCTGGAAGTGCCTCCCAGTGATAGGACTAGGTAATTTTCTTTGAATCCTGGGTTAGAAGAATCTCCATGATAAAGGCTCCTGGGAGGCAAAAGAACTGGATTACGAATGATTCAAGAGTCCCTGAAGTATAAGAAGAGAAATGGGAAATCTCATGTTTTGTTTCTTCTGTGTGAAACCAGGAGTTCCAGGGACCTAAGGACTCTGGGCTTCACATCCTTCAATCCTTACTCATTTTATTTTTATCTTTGTGCTTTGTGCGGCGGACAAGGGAGCATGTGTTGATGCGTGGAGCATCCTAATCCTTCCCAACTCAGCAGACTTGCATCAGGCTTGCTGGTCTCAAAAAGTGAATCTTATCTGACTGGCGTTATGCTTGAGGAAAAGGCTCAGAGAGGTTTGGGGACTTGTGCAAGATCACACAGCAGTCTCTTCTCACCTGCCTCAGTGTCCCATCCCTCACACCTTCACGGGTAACACTTGTGCTAATCCATTCATAAAATGACACACTTGATAATTTAAAGGGCAATTCACTGCTTTGTTAGAGCATATTATTACCACAGATAAGGAGCTGCAACAATCTTACATCCTCAGGGAGCTAATTGAGCAAAGGACACACTGAGATGAACTAAAACTTGTTATTAAGCTCCAGCTTGTCCCCACTGCCAGGTTTGGGTGGCACTTGAGGGGCGTGATGCTGAGCCAGGCTGGTACCCAAATTACCCCTGACCTTAACAGAAGAAAGGGTGGAAAACTGAGAAGTGCTTCCTGGGGGGTGAGTAGCTTCCCCACTCCCGCTGCACCAGGGTGTCTGTTAGCCAACTCCTCTCCATCCCCATGAGCGCATGGCTGTCACATAGCCCCCATGCTGGTGCCGAGGACTGTGTGAGACTGCTCCATCTCAAGCCTGCTACAGTGGTGAGCTCTTAGTGGAGGGAACCTCTTCCTGCCCCTTCTCCTCTCCTATACGAATGGTTATAACACGATTACTTATCATAGCCCTACAGTGGAAACATTGTGTAGCATACCCTTCAGTAGACAGGCATAAACACAACACAACCCACAGCTGCAATGGAATATTGGTTGCTCGTAGGAGGACATGAAATGCTGACACTTTGCTACAGTGTGAATAAACTGTGAGGCGCTAGGTGTAAGAAATCGTCTGTAAGAGACTGTGCTTGACTATTCCATTCACATGGAATCAAAACACTGGCATCTCTCGAGGCAGAAAATTTCGAGTTGCTTCATAAAGCTGGGTAGCAGGATGGGGGCTTGCAGATGGGTGACACATGATGGGTACTGGGTTGCTTTTTAAAAATAAGTATTTTTATTAATTCTTTGAGAAATTTGTAATGAATACAGTGTATTTTGATCATATTAAGTTGTAACCCCTACCTCTAACTCCCCTACATCCACCCTACCCATAACCCTTCCCAGCTATGTGTTTTATTATTTGATTTTAATAACCCTTCTTTTATGCTTTAATAGCCTATAGAGTGCAGTTTCTGCTGTTAATATAGTCACGGGTGCGTGGACATCTACTGGAGCCCTCGAGTTGCTGGGGCCCAAACCCTTAAAGGAAACTGACTGTTTCTCCCCAGAAGTCATCAGCCGTCAATGGTTCTGCAGCTAGAGATGGGTCTCATAAGCCCCTACTCCTCCAGGCTACACTGTTGATTGATTTGGCCTTGTACAGGTCTTCTGTCGGCAACCACAGCTGCTGTGAGTCCACGCGAGCAGTGGTCCTGTGATGTCCCAAAGACACTGTCTTACTCTAGTTCTCCCCCAAACCCCCTCTTTCTGTCCCCTCTTCAGTGATGGTTCCTGGGTCTTAGGGGAGGGGCTTCTCTTTGTCCTGCCAGGTCCTGCTGCTGCTTCAGCCCCAAATAAACACACAGATGCTATATTAATTATTAAACTGTTGGCCAATGGCTAGGGCTTCTAGCTCTGTATTAATTATTAACTACTAATCTATGTATTTCTACATGGCCTTATCTTACCAAAGGACACCCGGCGCTTCCTATCCTTCCAGTCTCTCCATGGTATCTCCTTCTGGTGGGCTCTCCCTGCCTACCTCTCCCAGAATTCTCCTCATCTCCTAGCTCCACCTATCTTCCTGCCTTTACTGGCTATTGGACAAACAGTGTTTTATTAATCAACCAATAAGAGAAGCACATATGCAGAAGGACATCCCCCATCATAGATGTCCCTATCTGGACAGAGAACTCCAAAATCACTTATTCTCTCTTTACTTTGGCCATCTGTGAATTTCTGGATTAGCTACTGTCTTCTGTACAATGAAACTTCTCTGCTGAAGTCTGACAAATGCTAATCTATGAGTATAGAGATACAAATTTAGAGGTTAGCTTGATGCTATTTAGCAAATAACAGGAGATTGCGAGTTCCCCATTCACATGTTCTTGGCCAGATTCACAGAACTAGGCATGGGTTTTCTCCTGTGGAGAGGGAGGGCCTTAAATCCATAGAAAGGGGTTGGTTATCCCCACAATACTTGTACCACTCTTACGTACATGGGATATCTAGAGCCACCCAGTTGTTGCTGCAGTTCATAGACTGAGTTTCTTCTGAGGTGAAGGGAGCACTCTAAAAGTGATGGTACTATTGGTTGTGCATACCTGTAAGAGCTATTGAGTTATTGCGTTATAAATGGATGATTTGAATATGAATTTCATCTTCATAAAACCATTGAGAAATTGTCAAGTAAACAAACAAGTGCCAAGTCTATGTCAGCCCCTTGTAAAAAAATCTTATTCTCATAAAAATCACTTTCTAGGATGGTTGGGAGGTGAGTTAAACATGTATTTGTGTGTGTGTGTGTGTGTGTGTGTGTGTGTGTGTGTAACAGTGGTCCTCATGCCATATGTCATATGTCATTAATCTATGTTAGGAGCATATGTGTGTGCACATATATGTACATATGTAATAAATTAGGCATTGTAAGAGATTAACAATAACTAGTAATAAGCTCAAACAATTATGGTAACATACTATAGTAATAGTTGCATAAACTCTGTCTGCATCTTTTGAATGGTGTATTCCTTTCTGTACAGGATTCATTGAAAGACTCCCCAACAGGT